ATATACACACACACACACACATATATATATATACATATATACATATATATACATATATATATATACACATTCATATATATATATATTATTTATATATATATTATTTATATATATTATATTTATATTATATATTATCAATACCCATCAAATGAATATTTACTATTTTTTAAGTATTTTTTTCTTCTCAGTATGTAGAGTGCAACTCTAGTTCTCAGCTAAGAAGAACAGAGCTTGTTTAATAGCTCTGTTTCTTTTCCTTCGTAAATGTCCGGCGTGTCGGAGGGAAGGGCGATATTGTGCGTATTCGTTGGACAAGATTTATGCGACAGAGTCGCGTGTAAGTTGAGGCATCGGACAGCAGCCAAAGTACGTATAGACACGCAGATATTAGTTGCGCGATAAACGCGCTCGCGCTCTGTAACTGCCGCATCAATTTAACATACCGCCATAAAACAAATGTATCGCGTGCCTGTCATAACAAGCTCGCGGTGGCGCGTTACGTCTCGCTGCGTCGGTTTATTTAAAGTCAAAGTACTAGGACGATTGGCCAACGAGAGGCTACGGGCAGGTGCGCGCGTTTCCTGCGATCGGCGGGACGTCCTGGAGCATCGATTGACGCGCCGTCCTTGTGCATATTTGTCGGTTTTCCCGACGGACACCACGCACGGTGGATCGAATCGTCGATAAATTGATCGTCGAGCTCGCAAGTTCCGCGCAAACGACTCAATCAGGACACGTGAATGCGCATTTTCGCGATAAGTTCCCATTGGGACGTATAATTATAATTCTCCTTCGAGAGGATGCGAGAATTGCGAGCCGCGATCATGTGAGAGTTATACATTTTTGGCTTTTAAGGGGTTACACCACTCCACCCTCTTAAAGTGAATCAGTGAAACATTATTGAAAGCAGTAAATATACACTGATTTACAGCTAGGGTAAACTCGGATAAGATGGCCATACTTTTTTTAAAAAAACACATTTTTTATTGTTACTTCTTAATAGCGTTTGGCACATTACTTCGCTGAAGCATACAGCACATAATACTATCAGAGTTAAAAGGAAAATAGTTCAGTGAAATTATTTATTACAAAAATATCAAAACATGAACATTGGTCATCTTACCTAAATGTTTAAGACAAGATGGCCATAAGGAATAGATGACCCATTTTATGTTTAATATTATGTACCTATTATTTTATAAAATAATGAAAAAAACATAATTTGACATATTCACTTTATAGGATATTTAATACATATTATTTGTGAAAAATATAATATACATATAAAATAGAAACCTCTATTAACTAAAACTTAAATTTTAAATCCAATTTTTGATCAAAACATATTACACATAAGATTTAATTACTGTAATATTGAAAGTAATTTTCTAAATATAACGAATTTTGTTTTACAAATATTAGGATGATAGTGGACCCAAAATGTGAGTGAAAGACGACTATAACAGTACTTGTAAACAAATAGTGAAAGTGAAAATAAAAATGCATGTTATATTATAATTTACATACCTACTTTATGTATCTAACGTTGATTGCGATATCTTAACTGTAATTCGACGTTACAGCAAGTTTTCGTACATGAGAAATTTTACAGGTAGTCAAAAATATAGTATAATATTCATAATCTTGCTATTTCGAAAAATGTACGCATATACACTACGATAAATATCGATTATTTTTGTGACTGATTACACAATCGCAATGTTTTGCAATTATTAGAGAAATTACAGCCTATGGCCATCATTTCCGAGTTTACCTTATAAGTACAGCACTGAAACTGCTCAGTGCTATACTTATAACTGATATCA